GGAAAGAGCAGACACCTCACAAATTCGACCAAGAATTGGGCATGGCCACCTGTTGGGGAAGACTCTGTACCCCCAGCCCCTCTCTCCCCTGGGATAATGCATTCATTTGGGAAATGAGTGGCGAGATTGACCCGGTCCTGTGGGCATCGGGAAACTCTAAGTTATTTACTAGAAAATAGTACAGTGTTTTCACCATGTAACTTGATGCTAAGTGATAATCCCGCCCTATTGATCGAGCCTTCAGAAATGTTCAATGCTTGATGTGTGGTTTGGGAAGCAGGGAATTTTTAACAACCTTATTGAGGCATATTTTACATATAAAATTCACCCATTTCAACTGTACATTTCAGTAATTTTAGTAAGTTTCCTGAGTGGTAAGGCCATAACCATACTCAGTTTTAGACATTTTCCATCCCACGCCATGAGATCCTTCGTGTCCATTTACATGATAATCCCTGCTCCCAGCTCTGGGCAACCACTTATCTTTCTGTCTCTACAAATTTCCCTTTTCTGGGCATCATATCAGTGGAATCCCACAAACTGTGGTCTCTTTTGGCTGGCTTTTCCCCTTAGCATATTTCTGAGTTTCATCCCTGAGCTGTAACTTGTGTTGGTAGTTTATTCTTTTAGAGCACTCAGTAGTATTCCACTGATGGACAGGCTACATTTTGTCAGCAGGGAATCTTGTAAACTTGGACTTCGGCCCCCTGTGGTCTAAATAGAACCCTCAGAACAGGGGACTCCTGGGCGAGCTGCTGCGAGTGTCCCAGGAACGACTCCTCAGAACCAGCTGCATCATCAGAGGCTCTGTGCAAGGAGCCAAAACTGCTGCAGAAATTTTTATCATTTTGCAACTTTTTTATAAGGAATTCTTGTGCTGTCTACACAACAGGATTTTTGAAGCATCTGGTAATTTAATGAGTCTGTTTTGAGTGGACACAAAAGTGAAGCCATCCATACCCTGTTGGCTATTTTACCATCCAGAACTAGATGGAGGGGAATCACTGAACTTCTGGATACAGTATTGTCTCCATTACAGAGTTGAACACGTATTAAAGATTGTGCTGCCTTTGTTGGATGGATTTGGAGAGAAGGACGATGGCCAGCAGAGAAGGTCGAGAGGAGAAAGGGAGTAGAACCTGTGGGACGAGAAGCCCCCGAGGGCATGTGTGTGGCTTGCCCAGCTGCCAGCGTGGATGGTGGCCCGCAGTGGCTTCGTGCCTCCAGTGGGCCTACGTCTTGACTTTCAACTTTGATCCCTGTTTCACAAGTGTTTAACAGCTGTTTTTGTTCCTTTTTTCTCCTCTAAATACACATGATGTGGTAGTTACTAATATGTCTTTGTGGGAGGGGCAGGGCTTTACAATCGAAGAAAATGATTTTCATAAAAATAGCAAAAATGGGGGAAATGTTACTTTTTAAAATTTTTGCTATATAAACCAAATGGCAGCTGTGGGAAAAAGTCTCAATAAAATGAGAATAAAATGCATTTACTTGCCGGCAGTGCTACTGTTTCTTATGGTTGGGTGATTGTGTGTGTGGTGTGTTTTTGTGAGAGATTTTTTTTTTTAAGATTTATTTATTTGAGAAGGGGCTGCAGGGGTCAGAGGAAGAGGGAGCAAGAAGCTCAAGCAGACTCCCTGCTGAGCACAGAGCCTGATACGGGCCTTGGTCTCATAACCCGGAGATCATGACCTGAGCTGAAACCAAGAGACTGGGCCACCCAGGCACCCCCTCATGAGAGATTTCTGTCTCAAGATGGATCATGGGTTTAGCTGCATCATTTTCCAATCTAAATAGTGTTACGAAGTGGTAGAAGCATTGGTTTGGAAGCTGCAGGCCCGAGTGAATCCCACCTCCAGCACTTTCTTGGTGCCTTCAGTTTATCTATAAAGACATGGCTCCTCCCTCCTAGGACTGCTGTGTAAATTAGACTGAATTTAATTTCAAAATACTGCCCGGCACAAGGAAGGTGCTTAATATATAGTGGCAGTAATGCACACAGTCATGTGTACAGCTTTGAACAAAGGTCGTAACAGGAAATCCTTGGACTTGGAAGGAAATTGGATAGCTGTTATCTTCCGGCTTCAGGGGAAAACTGACTCCTATCTGGAAAACAAGGAAAGGTTCTGAATCTGCCTTTCAACTACTACACAAGGTCGAGAGCCTTCTAACTACCAAACACTGTCCTAGGTACCCGGGCTACTGGGTTAACAAGCGGGCATCATCCATTCTGTTTGGGGGGGATGTTTGGTAATTCATATTTATTCGGTTTACACCTAACTTTAACCTCCCAGGGATTCTTGGAGGGACTTTATCATGTGGCAGAAAGATCACGGGACCAGACCATGGCCCGTGCATTTTGCTTTGAGTGCTATTATTTCTTCGCTGCCTTCCTAAAACCAGGCGGGGAAAGAGCTGAGCAGACTTGCCTGTGGAGCGCTTTCTGAGATACTCTAGTTATGCATACACAAGGCCTGGACTATGCACATCCTTGAAGACGTGTGTCTTACTCATTCACTTAAAACATTTCATTAACCTTACTTGAAGTAGAATACATTACAGAAAAGCAGATATTGTAAATAGGCAGTTCCATAAATTTATGCCAACTTCTCAGTTGGGATAAGTTATTTTTAATCCTCAGAGCACCCTTCCCAGCCGTATGACATTCTGTGTTTGCTGAATGGATGTGACAGATGAGGAGGCTGTGCTGGTCATGAAATCACCAGGTGGATTATTAAAGCAGCATGGGCTTCATTTGAGTCCAGTTCTTGTTCTAAGCTCTTGCCTCTGTCACAAGGCTGTTACAGGCGCATCTCTGATGCCTTGATAGGATGGAATCCCATTAATTGCTCCTTTTATCCAGAAAGTTTAAGTGAAAGGGGAAGAAACTCATCAAAAATGACTTTCTGCACCACAACCTCTGGTAACAGAGCCTTACTAATTGGAAAGTAAGCCATTTCATCACATCTCTGGCTAAAGGAGCTAGGAACACATTGGATCTTGTACACTTTTATATTATTTTTTTAAATGATTTATTTATCAAAGAGAGTGCGTGCTCAAGTTGGGAGAGCGGCAGAGGAAAAGGGAGAGAGAGAATCCCAAGCAGACCCCCCACTGAGCGCAGAGCCCGGATGCAGGACTCAATCCCATAATCCTGAGATCGTGACCCAAACAGAAATCACAAGTGAGCTCTCTCCAAATGAGCCACCCTGGCACCCCACTGCTTTTTTTTTTTTTTTTTCAACTCATATGTATTTAATACTTACGTACCAGGACTAAAAAAATCAAAATATGCTCCTTGCTCAGCTCTCCCACTGGGATAGTAGAGCCTCGACAATGGTAAGGAAGAGAGATGGCCATATTCTTGAAGAATATTAACTCTTTGTTTATATTCTATGTATAAACTCTCCACCAATCAGATTTTAGATTCTAAATCCAAAATACGGCTTGTTCCTGGTCCCAGGATCATGTAAAAAAAACTTCTCCAGGGGCACCTGGTGGTGCAGTTGGTTAGATGCCCAACTCCTTTTATGGCTCAGGTTGTGATCTCAGGGTCATCAGATCAAGCCCCATATCAGACTCTGCACTAAGCATGAAGTCTGAGATTTTCTCTCTCCCCCCACCCCCACCCCTCCTGCTCAAGCATTCTCTAAAATAAATAAATAAATCTTAAAACACCTTCAAAGTTCCCTGCACATTAATAAGTGTTCTTAGGACTGTGAGATATAGCAAAGACCCCTCCTCTGTGTCTTTCTCCTCACTGCAAGCTTTTTACCAGAAGATGTATGGGACTTGCTGAGAGCTGGCCCCTAGTAGTTTGGACCACAGGAGATGTGAAGACTGCTGGCTATTTCCTCAGAAGGGACTTGGCTTGAGCTCTTATTGCTCAAAATCCCGGCTTGTTGGGTTGGGCTAGGGCCAACAGGAGAAGAGCCACTGCCGCTCTGTTCTACACTGTGAAAGAAGTGTCACTTGACTTGAGAAACAAGCATCCAAGACCTCTTCAAGGGCTTAATCAGCACCCAAAAGCTCTAGGGTAGCGCTCCCTCCAGTGCAGATCCTGGACCTCTGCAGCCCAACTCACCCAAGGTATTTGGTAGAAATGAACATTTCCACCTCTTCTTGACCTACTGAATCAGACACCGGATGCAGGAGGAAGACAAAGATCTTAGTTGAAAACAAGATCTAGACTAACTGGTGCACATGTTCCATGCCTTCAAATACCTTACGCTCTGGACACCCAGAGAGGCAGCTGTTGTGGGTCAAGATTCTGTCTTCAGTTCACCAAGCACCATGTGCTGCACAAGAAGAAGCTTTGGGCTTGTCTTGACTCATTAAACCAGTAACGGTATCCAGAGGACAGGAGTCACGTTTGCTCTTCACCAATGTTCATCATTCGTGTCACACAACAAATGCAGGATGTTGTATTATAACCAGAGCCAGGCTAGAAGTCACGAGGAATAAACAGGCCACCTAGCTGTGTCTAATTGGCCTTCTTAGATCTCAGTCATCTTCCCAACCTCTCAAGAATGCTTTCATAGGGGAAAAACTGCAACATGTACCACTTACCTATGAGCACCAAATCCAGTGAGGGAATTCTCCCAGACCAGAATGGTCCCCTCTCCTAAATCCTACTGGGACCATCAGGAGAGGGTATGAAGTGTCTAAAGTTACTCCCAGTGATGCTCTCCACAGAGAACACTCAGTTCCAGGAAAAACGGCTGGGCAGGAATCATTACTCACCTGGACAGGAGAAACTGAGGTCACAGTTAACTAGCAGCAGCGTGGCATAGAGGTATGCTAAGGCTGGGGGCAGTGGGGAGGGATGGCACACATGAATTCTCCGCCCAACTGTATGGTGAGCAGATGGCAAACCAAGCGCCAAGCAGCAGGGCACAGGGCTGTAAGTTCTGACCTAGAACCGTTCCTGAGCTCTCTGGGATAGCCACTGGCAGATGCACTCAGGATGTACATAGCAAGTGTGCTTGACAACAGTCTAACTGAGAGGAGTGGATAAAGTGCATTTATTTTCTTTTATATGTGTGTGTTTGTTTGTTTGTTTAAAAAAAGAAAAAAAAAAGCCTCCTTTCCAGCACCCAATGTCCACAGGGCTCGGCGGGGTGGAGCCAGGGCCAGCCCCCTAGGAGAAGGTGTGGAAGTAGAAGGCAACAGCGTTGGAAGCATAGTCCATGGGGAGGCGGTGCCCGATGTGCCTGGCCCCGAGGCTGGCCCCACCCAGGGCAGAGGAATGTCGCAGCTTCAGTAGGGTGAAGCTAGAGAAGGAGTTCTGGGCCTGGGTCTCTCGGCCCTGGGTCAGCGCCAGAAGGAAACCTGAAGGGAGAGAGGGCAGAGGGCAGAGGTGAGAGTAGACCGGCTCTCCCTGGTCGAGACCAGGAGAAGGTGGGACAGTGACACGGAGGAAAGGGAGAAGCCCAGGCCCTAAGACATTCCTGTGCAGGTCCCCAAGAGGCCCACGCACCAAGTCCCTAACAGGCAGGGCACCAGGGGACAGGAACCCGGTAATGGACTTTGGATACTAGAGCCTGCAGCCAGCAGGTACCCAGTGCTGGGAACTCCAAGAAAGCAAGGGGGTCCTCCCAACTGCTTCAGAATGTCTAAAGGAAACCACACAGCTACGTGAACCAACGCTGCAAGGGTTAAGAAGGCCCCTCTTCCTTCTGGCTGCAACTGTGTTGACTACAGAGCTCAGCACATGCTGGCCAGAAGCTCTGATCTCAGGGGAGGTCTGTCTTCAATTTTTAAGAAGTGGTGTGTCTTTAATAAATCCTTTAAAAAAAACATCTTTTAAGAGTTCAGGGAAGCTGGGTGAGACACCATAAAAGGGCTCCCTGGCAGACTGTGGGCAGAGGGCTGTGGCCTGTGCAGGCCTCCAGTCTTCCTTGTCCTTGCTGGGACAAGCAGCTTTCCCGAGTAACCCCACCCTCGACCCGTCTATCACCCACCCCAGGCTCACCTTTCTTCAGCAGCTCCCAGCTCTTCCACACAGAGCCCACACACAGGATGGGGAGGCCCATCTCCCCCTGGAATAAGACCTGGCGAAGAGCAGAAATGGACACTGGGGGTGACCACACCTCTCCAGCGCTGAAGCGGATAGTCTCTTAAGACCAGCCCACCCACTCCCGGATACTCTCCCTCTAGCCAAGATGGATTGAAGAAAAGGGTTGAAAAGGGAGGAAAACAGGGAGACTCAAAAAGTTGAGAGAGAGAATGGAAAGGGAAAAGGGTGAAGCAACAATACAGAGGCAGGAAAGAGAAGGGAGGGAAATGGATGGAGACATGCACCGTGTTAAAGCAGTGGACTATATATAAACACAGGCTTCGGGCCAGCCACAGAGGGGAGGCACCAGACCCGAGCGCTCTTACGTGTTAGAGACTATACAGAGTTCTTCTCACACCCTAAGTCCATTTAAAATCATGCCCCTCTTTACAGAGTTTGATGGGACAGTCTCATCCCTAATGGGAAAGAGCCAGATCTGGCCCAGCAACATCCAGATTTCGTTTCCCATCAGCTTACCGGGTCGATCTCAGGCAACACTGCCACCACGTGTCTGCCCAGCATCTCCCCAGCCTTCCTGAAGATAAACCGGGAGAGGGCGTCCCCCTCCCGAGCACCTGGGGCGGGATGGGGGGGAAGGGAGCTGGTGAGTACCTGTTGCAGGGGAGAAACAGGAGGAGCACCTAGAGCTAGCAAAGCTCTAAATTAGGAATGGATGCCCACCTCATGGCATGTAGGGACGCAAGCCTCCAGCAGTGGTCCTCCATCCTTACTGCCCTGCCCCCACCAGGTACTTCCACCCGAGCAGGGGTGTCCTGCCCGAGGTGGGTCACTCCAGGCGCAGAAAAAGGGCAGCCCCCACTAGAGGAGCACAGTAGCATCTGGTCTGTACTCCAGCTTACCGAGTCTGTCCCCGAAGGTGTCTCACCTCTGGGGACCCTACTTGAGCAGCGGGCTGGCGTGCTCCTGCCCCACCCACCATCCAACAGTCTGCGGTCTGCCCCCTGCCCAGCTCTGCTCCAAAAGGGCCTCAGTACAGCAAGATCTATGAGAGGCCTACAATGCCGTGAGGCTGCAGGAATCCAAGCGAGGGGAGTATGAACCTTATAGTGGAGTAACAGCACTGTGGAGACAAGCAAGCCCTACGGTTTAGCTTTTCCTGAGCATAAGCACCCCCCAAACCCACCATGCCAAACCTCTCTATGATCTCCTAGTTCTTCAGATATCATTAGTTTTTGTTTGTTTGTTTTAACTACAGATTTGCCCAAAGGACAACTGCTTCATACATTTCTCGGAAACAGACACATGGCCTCCCCAAGCCATGACAGCCGTCAAGAAAAACAGAGATAATATAAAACAATTATCAGTACACCCCACATGTCCTTCTGGCTCCAGCCCAAGGCCTCCTAGTACCAAGCTGCATTTAATCCTTGTAATGACTTCAGAGAACAGAAGTTACTTGGTCAAAGGGAAATTAGCTTCCAGTTCTCCTATGAACCCCATTCAGTCCCATAATGAGGGAAACCTTTGGGGAATAAAACCCTATACCCCCCTCTCCAGTACCTTCTGCAATTTTCTGGCAAAACCCAGCAAATCGGCATTTATCAAAGTCCCTATAAAGGTGGGTGAGGATTCCTAGCCGGTCTGACACCTGAGAGACAGAGAAAGGGGCAAAGAGAATCATTAGAAGCAAAGGAAAATGCGCAGTCTGCCCACCCAAGTTGATCTTCCTGATGTCTCTGAGAAGCTGGAATAATGTTTGTTTTTTTTAAGCTCTAGAGAGTACAAAGATTTGAGACTTCACATTTGAGGGAGGTTCTTTGTTTTCCCCACATGGATCCTAGCACTCCTTATAGAGAGCCTGGATACATACAGCACAGGGCACAGATCTGTGAGCACCAAAGTGTGTTCTGTAGTTCTTAGAGGTGCTCCTGAAAAGATTTCTTTGGTGAGAGGAATCTAAGGACTACTGCATGTCGCAACTCTCCAAGTCACAGGGTGCATTCGCAAATTAAAGGCCCTGTGAAGTCCTGCACCGAGAAATCTGCTCGTTTCTCCCAAACTTCTCTGACCACAGAAAGTCCTTCTCTCAGCAAATGGCCTCTGCAGGTCCTAAGGGAGGAGCACTTCCCCAGAGCACACACTAAAACGAAGAAGGGGGGCTCTCAATGTGAGCACTTACAGCAATACAGTAAGCATATTCTGCACACAATCTCATTTAATCCTTGTAATGACTTTGTGAGAACGCCTAAGGGTAATAGATGGCGTGGCAGACCGACCAACTGGGTTTAGAACCAATCTGTTGGGTTGGGGTAGCTTAACTGCACCTCCCACAGCAGCTACTATCGAAAGGGATTTGTCTTCCTCCTCCCTCCCTATACAGATCGACCTTCCAGCATCTCTAATCTCCTTCCTTGAGCCCATCCCCAGCACACAGAAGCAGCTGCCACGCACAGAGGTCTGTTGGGTAGACTTACCTTCCTCCTCCTCTTCCCTTTTACTTTGGGTTCAGCTAAAAATAGCTTTTTCCTATTCCACTACAAATAAGCATGGCCCAGACTGAGGAAAGCCCTGGGTAGGAGGCTATACCTCCCCCAAGAACCCTCCCTCTTTAACGGGTTCTCCTCCCTGACCCATACGGGCCAGAAGCAGTTCAGTCTGAGTACCCTGCCTCCTGTTCTCACCCAGCATTTCTCACTCCAGCCTGAAACGGCATCTACCCTCACCTCCCAGCAGGGCCTAGCTGCCCAAGCATGAATTCTAGCTAACCACTTGGCTCCAGCCTGCCCATTCCGCATGCCTGACATTCTCCTCTTGGTACACACCACCCACGTCATCATGAATCCTGTCCTCACCTAGAATTTCTCCATCCTCCAGCTCTGACCCACAATTCACCCCAACTTCCCTTCAGCTCACCCAGTTCTTCTCCTACATTCACTCCTGCTCAGTATCCCACTGCCCCATCCCAGGGGTGCATGTTCACCAGAGGCAGGGGAAGGTACCTGGAAATAGTCAAACATGATGTATTTCATGAAGCCAATGTCATGAGGAGCCGCCTCCAGGTTGTCGATAGAGTCAAACACTATTTTCATTGCTTGGTGTGCAATCCAGTAGGCTGTGGAGGGCAGAGAGGGCTAAGATGGGACGATCTCCCTGAGTCCACAGATCAGGAAACTCAGACCTAGACAGGTTAGTGACCAGCTTGGGTATTACAGCAAATTAGGTGCCCTGATTTCAACTGTATGACCAATCCACAAAAGGGAAGCAAGGGGGAAAACAATAGGTAAGGCCAAGTCACCCCAGCTCCTACCCAAAAACAAAGACAAGGAGAGTCCACTGTCACAAAGACCACTGCAGTCACTGCCATGAGCTGGCCCCAGACGCCCCTAGGTATACCTGCTACCTACAAAGAGGTCATGCAGGAGGAGTTTCTATAGCCCTTTCCTATTAGCAGACTGGTCCAGCATGTCCTGGCACCTGTGTCCTTAGCCTTCATAGTGTCAGTTCCTCCCTAAGGATTCCAAAAGTCAACACAGGTGGGCAACAACTATTATACCGAGGCTTGAATCTGAACCTGGATACAGATCACTGCTGCAGACCAAGGTCGGCCACTCATCCAAGGTCAGCCATGAGTCTGCCATCTGCATGTCTATGTTCTCTCAGTCATTACCCTGGACTCAGAGGATCTTTTCAGGAGCTATCCCCGGAGAGCCACAAGGGGTTAGTGGCCAAGGGCAGGGGAGAGGAAGACAGAGAGCTGCAGGAACGGAAGGGTCCAGGGCCCCAGAGCCAGGCCCGGCTGGCATGGACTCACCTGAGCCCTCGTCCCCCATCATGTGGCCCCAGCCACCACAGCCACTCTCCGAGCCATCGGGGTTGATGAGCCTGCAGTTGGAACCTGTCCCAGAGATGAGCACGATCCCACCTAGGGAAAGAGCATGGGGAGGCTCAGTGTGGCCAAGGCCCTGCACAGAGCACACAGCTTCTGACTGAGGTAAGAGGGTAGAAACCAGCCCCAGGATCACCACCCAGTCTTGTACAGAAATGTGAGCCCAGCTAGTTTCCCACCTGAAAGTGGACGGCCTGAGTCTCAAAGAAGCTCCAATCTATACAGAGCCCTCCTCTGAGAGACAAAAAGGAACATAAGCCAGCCTCCTTGCCAAGCTAAGTGACTACCTGCCTTACCACATTATTTATTAAGAGCCAGCGATCACGCTAGACCCTGTTCACACAGTGATACTCATTCAACATCCTAAATCTCATTTGTGAATACAGTTGCCTCCATTTCATAGAGGAGGCCATTGAAACCCAAGAGTTCCATAACTTCTCTAAGATGGTACTGCTCGTAAAACAGGAGCAGAGCTTCAAATGCCGAGCTCAGGATACCAGGCCTTTTACACTAGCACAGAGCTCCGCCCAGTTTTCTTCTTGGCCCTTAACTGCTCTCCCAGCCAGCCTCACCCCCGCACCACCCCAAGGGCTCCCTCCTCTGGAGCAGAGTCTCCGGGCTGACAGATACAGTTCTGCCCCCCCCCCACCTTCTGTCCAGTTGGTGCTCTGGCAGGGGGACTTAAGCCAATAAAAAGAGCAGGGAGAAGAGAGCGGGTTGTGCTGGAGGCCACCTTCCGGGTACTGCGGGACAAGTTCCATCAGCTCCAACTAAGGGGCTTTCCCCAGAAAACCAGTTCTCAATCTCACCCCACCCTCCTCCTCACCAGCCTCTGTCGCTGTGGCGATGGAGCCCGCAGCGTCTGTGGTAATTAAGTAGCTGTCGCTCAGGTGGGGAAATCGGTTCTTCAGCAACTCTGTCAGGACCCTCAGTGCGTCCTCCTGCTCCCCACCGCTCAGGGACAAGCCCTAGGCCGTGTGGGATGGGAGCGAGTGAGTAGGGTGAGCAGACCCAGCTCCCTTCTCCACCCCCTCCCTTCCTGGTGTCTACCCCAACTCTCTATATCTGGGCACACCCTGCTTAGCCAGCTCCAGTCCTCCTGCCGCCCCACACGATGACCCACCAGGTGCTGCTGGCGGCAAGAAGAACCTAGTCTGGGAATGAACCCAGAGAGAGGACTCAACACTGCCAAGTTTGGGGGGTGGGAGGGTCAGCAGTGCCCTTAACGGAAAAGTCAGGCAGGAGAGCAAGCAGAGGAGGTGGGCTTGGTGTGGACTACAAGGGGCTTAGCTGTGCCTGCAGAACTGTCACTGAGGCTACCACCAGGGGGCAGTCAGAGCCCCAGCAATTGGAGAGAAACATCTGAGCTGAGACTCACAGCGGACATTTAAACATTTAAGGAGTGCTTAAGGGTCAGGCTCTACGCTAAGCACTTTGGGATGTACCATGCCATTATTCTTAACTGACCACTGAGGTAGCTACCGTTACCTGCATTTCCCAAATGAGACCGAGGCTTGGTGGAGCTAAGTAGCCTGCTAAGGGTCTCACAGATGCTGAGTGACAAAACTGGTATTCAAACCAGGGTCTCTGTGGTTCTCCAAAGCCCTGGGCTCTTCCCATCCTTATGGCTTGTAGGTGACAACTGAAGCCATAAGAATGAGTGAGAATATGTGTTTCTAGACCAGAGACTAAGCCCTCAAGGCCTTTCATCCTTCAGTCCTCAGATTCACCTAGGCAAAATCGCTGTGTTTCTGTGCCTTCATTCCCAGGATCAACCCCAGACTCACCAGGCTTCGTAGAGGGACCAGAGGATCCAGCCCTGCTTCCAGTTTGGCCCTGTTCACCATCTCGTTGATCCTCTCCACACACTTGTCTATCCCGATTAGCTGGCCCCAATCAAGGGAAGGAGTTACAAAGTCTTGCATGACCCATGTTGCCCCTACAGGTTGTTATACGCAGCCCCAGCCACCATCCTGATGGGAGTTACAGAGAATAAAACCACAACCACAATGAAACCCACCGGTCCCTCAGTGTGGTCTTTACCCAGTGATTTGTGCTGAGTCCATCTGCTTCTGCCACAATCTGCCCATCCTCTGACAGTAAAAGGACCTTGGACCGTGAGCCTCCCCTAGAGAACACAAAGGGGCACTCAGTCTTGCTCAGACAAACCCGCAGGGAGAGCTAAGCTCCAGGGCTCCTAGTCCCAGGCAGAGCCCAGGTGACAGCTTTGCCAAACCCAATTCCCATTCCCAAGCCCACTTCTGTGTTCTGGTTTGATGTGCTCCTGGACTGAAATGTTGCTTCTGCTCAGCTTCCCTCAGGGATGTCCTACTTATCCTGTAAGACCCTACTTCTCTATCACCTAGTCCTTGAAACCTCTGACGCGTGGCCTACCGCCACAGCTCCATTCATTGGGCCACATCAGTGTCCCCATAAATTGTAGAGATTCTGGTAAGAGCCTATAGTTGTTTGTTTGTTTTTTTTTAAAGGTTTTATTTATTTATTTGACAGAGCGAGATCACAAGTAGGCAGAGAGGCAGGCAGAGAGAGAGGAGGAAGCAGGCTCCCTACTGAGCAGAGAGCCCGATGCGGGGCTCGATCCCAGGACCCTGAGATCATGACCTGAGCCGAAGACAGAGGCTTTAACCCACTGAGCCACCCAGGCGCCCCTATAGTTGTTTTTTTGTCTGCCTCTCACGAGACTACAATCTCCACTGTGCCAAGCTCCAGATCCTTCATCCATTTTCCTGCTTGGCACAGGCCAACACTCAGGAAATGTGACTAAAGGGAGCGGCGCATGTCTCTGCTTCATAATAGCTAAAGGCCGCCTTTCAAGATCCAGCTACAGCTGCCAAGTTCTTCAAGACACCCTCAGGAGAAACACTGACGAGAGGGCAGAGAGAGTTTATACCTACTTAAGCAACCAAATGGTGAAATGCTTATTACTGGGGGAAATGGTAGTTTGGATGGAGGTCTGTGGTGGGGTGATGTATGTTTCTTTATTGATCAGAACTCTTGGGAACATCAGAAAAGGACACTAAAGACCTGCTGATCAACCTCAAAGGTGACAAGAAGTTTCGAGGGGTAGTTAATGAACAAGGCAGCAGATTCAAAGTCCAAAAGAATCTCTTGACAATCTAGAGAAACAGGTCATATCTTACACATGAATATAACAGCGATGAGCCCAAGCTCCTATACTGATTTTTAAAAAGTGCAACAGATGCAGGATAAGGGAGATCAACCTTAACAATTTACATTAAAAAATAAATAAATAAAAAGACATGGGGGTCTATGAGTCTGCACAGCACACAACTAATCCTAATCTCGGATTCAAAGGTAAGTGTCCAGGCTGTGACAAGAGCCATTCTCTATTTGCCCAGATTTCACACCCAGATTCACAGAATGCCTTCGCTGGCAGGGGACTTGTCATTCATCCCTCTTCTCACTATACACATGGGGTAAATGAAGCCCAGATTGGGCAAAAGCCTTGCCCATAGTCCTAGGAAGAAGCCTTATTACAAAAAGTCCAGGGGGGAGGGGGGTTGGGAGAGGGGGGTAGGGTTATGGACATTGGGGAGGGTATGTGCTATGGTGAATGTTGTGAAGTTATGTGTAAACCTGGCGATTCACAGACCTGTACCCCTGGGGATAAAAATATATGTTTATAAAAAAAATTTTTTAAAAGATAAAATTAGGACGCCTGGGTGGCTCAGTTGGTTAAGCAGCTGCCTTCAGCTCAGGTCATGATCCCAGCGTCCTGGGATCGAGTCCCGCATCGGGCTCCTTGCTCAGCAGGGAGCCTGCTTCTCCCTCTGCCTCTGCCTGCCATTCTGTCTGCCTACACTCGCTCTCTCTCCCTCTCTCTCTCTGACAAATAAATAAAATCTTAAAAATAAATAAATAAAAGATAAAATTATATTCTTTTTTAAAAAGGAAAAAAAAAAAAGTCCAGTAAGCAAGTTTCTAAGAAGGAAAAATGTAAGAATGACAGAGGGTTCCATCTGGAATGCTGACAAGAAAGGGGTGTTCCAGGCATCAGGAGAGGCTAGCACTTCGGCTGGCTGTTGTAGCTACCAGATCCCCTCTGGCAAGGGTCTTTGTCCCCCGCTTCCACCACACTCCCACTCCCCACCCCCTCCAGCAACTTCACACCTGACACCTGTTCAAGCTCAACTCTCTCAGCGATCCGGAGCTTCTAGATCTGGCGGGGGTGGGGGGGCGGTGAAGTGGGTCGTTCGTGGGAGAAAGGGGTGTGGTTGCGCCGTGAAACATAAAAGACCCCCCGCGCGCGCCTCGGGTGTGGCGGTGTACTCCCAGAGTCCCGCAAGTCCTCGGGCACTGCCGCGCGTGCACACACCCTTCCACCGCAAGGCCCCGCAACTCAGAAGCCCAAAGTGGCCGGACCCTAAGGTGGGAGGTCACCAGCATGCCAGCCTGGCCCCGGGCTTCCCGCCTTTCGCCCTCCGGCCGCTTCTCAGCCGCCCCTCCCGGACTCTCTCCGCCAAGCCGCACTCACCCCTCCACGCCGCCGTAGAGTGCCGCCATGCCCGAGCTGCTGCCGCCGCCCAAGACGCAGCAGTTTGCTCCTCTCCGCCCCACCACCACCCGGCTTGCTGGGCGCCGCCCCCCGTCACGTGCCGGGCCGGGCCGTGCGGTTGACTGGGTACAGCGTGTGCGCGGGGCGGAGCGAGACGACACTCCCAGACCGCGCGAGCGCTGTCCCCAGCTGCTCCTCTAGACGCCGGCTCGCTGCCTCCGCACCTCTTGCACCCTGCCTTCGGAGATGGATGCGGGATTCCAAGCGCAGGAGCCAGAAGGGGATGTCCGGTTCCCACCCACTGAACAAGTCCCTGCCTTGCCCACGCCCCGCCCCGCCCCACCAGCGCCCGGAAGTTGCCGACAGCTCCGCCTTCCGCGTTCGCACTGCTCAAGAGCCCTGTAGACCCCGGGGTGATCAGTGCGTCGTTGTGCCGGCGGGCGCTCCGTGTAAGGGATGGGGGAGGAGCTACCTTAAAAATTCGGCTGTGAAAGGCTTCTGGGTGGCTCAGTCGGTTAAACATCTGCCTTCTGCCTTTCGCTGGGGTCTTGATCCCAGTGTCTTGGGATAGAGCGCTGCACAGGGCTTCTTTGGGATGGGGAGCCAGCTTCTCACTCTCCTCTGCCTCCCGCTCCTCCTGCTTATGCTCTCTCTTGCTCTCTCTGTCAAATAAATAAAATCTTTTTTAAAAAAAAAAATTAGGCTACTAGGGGCGCCTGGGTGACTCAGTGGGTTAAAGCCTCTGCCTTCCACTCCGGACGTGATCCCGGAGTCTTGTGTTCAAGCCCTGCATTAGGCTCTCTGCTCAGCAGGGAGCCTGCTTCCCTCTCTCTCTGCCTGCCTCTCTGCCTACTTGTGATCTGTCTAATAAATAAATAAAATGTTTTTTAAAAAAATTAGTCTACTAGAATTGAACCTTGAAAGGAGAAGAGCTCTGGAGGCTGCCCTTGCAACTCACTGAAGTAGCCGTCAGCTCTTAGCACCTGCTTAGTTCAATTCTTTGTGCTGGGTATTTGCAAGGATAAAGAAGAGAAACCTTTTTTTGCCCTCCAGCCGTCATCCCACTCTTCCTTCCACGGGATTGGGAAAGGGGAAAGGGAGCGAGAAGTGGGCTAGCCAGGTTCAGAAGCTGGGCTGGGGCTCCTGCAAGCCTCTGTGGTCTGCTCCAGGCTGTTCTGGGCCAAGGATGGGGACTTGTCAGGCCAGGAGGGAGGTCAGCTGCCCTTGGCATCTCTTAAGGAACTTCAGCCTTCCGGGCCAGTCCTTCTAGGGCAGTTCTCAAACTGGCCTGGTCTCTGCTCTACCTGCTCCCCAACCCTGGGGGTAGCTTCTGCCTTCTGTGAGAGAAACCCTGCACTAGTAGCTTTCTTTTCCTGATAGCCAGTTGAGTCTGGTTATGTTTTGGTGTGAACCTTTGGCGTATATGTGCTCTCTTAAACTGGAAGAGAAGAGTCTTTACCACACGAGATACTCATTTGGGACGCTGAAACACTACAGTGTAACCCTCAAGGGTAGTTGAAAAGTAAATCACTACTCATAGAAAATACCAAAGAGAGAGGCAGGATTTTTTTTTTTTTTTTTTTTGATGCCCACCTGTTTCATTTACATTTGCAAAACATTAGAGCTGGAAGGTGCTTAATCCAACACACATGTTTTGTTTTTGTTTTTTTTTTAAATATTTTATTTATTTATTTGACAGAGAGATCACAAGCAGGCAGAGAGGCAGGCAGAGAGAGAGGAGGAAGCAGGCTCCCCTAGACAGCAGAGAGCCTGATGCGGGGCTCGATCCCAGGACTCTGAGATCATGACCTGAGCCGAAGGCAGCGGCTTAACCCACTGAGCCACCCAGGCGCCCCCAACACACATGTTTTTAGAATAATGGAACTCCTAGATTCTGGTGGGCTTAAACTGGGCAGGATTTTTAGAGGAGATGGTAGGTGGATTTAGAAAGGACTGTGCTGAGGTACCTGGGTGGCTCAGTGGGTTAAAGCCTCTGCCTTCAGCTCAGGTCATGATCTCAGGGTCCTGGGATCGAGCCCCACATCGGGCTCTCTGCTCAGCAGGGAGCCTGCTTCCCTCTCTCTCTCTCTCTGCCTGCCTCTCTGCCTACTTGTGATCTCTCTCTCTCTCTGTCAAATAAAATCTTTAAAAAAAAAGAAAGGACTGTGCCTTTTTGCACACTAGCGCAGTGAGCCCTGGGACCTGTGTGTACCGTAGTTTCCCTTTGTATTGCTTATTTAGAAAAGGAAGCAAAAGAAAGAAAAAAGGAAGCAAAAGAGAAAGTGCCCAGATTCAAAGACAAGGATTGAGTTCATCCCTTTACTAACTTTACTAGCTGAGGACCTGGAGTGAAATATATACAGTTGCTGCTGCTTTTCATCTACAAAATGGAGATGATATACATCTACCTACCCAGACTAACACAAGAGTTAAATATCAGAAGGATTTTGGAAACCTTAAAGTACTACACAGATTTTAGCTGATTTTACTTATATTACTAATTACTGTGTGCTGCCCAGCACAGTGGCTCACATGGGACTACTGAACACTTGAAATGTGGCTAGTGTGCTTGAGACTGTAAAAATACAGAATTGCAAAAGACGCTAACAGAGATCAGCCTTGAAAACCCTTTGAGTGGAGAAACCCAGTCTAGTCACACACACAAGGCTTAATTTAGCTACTCTTGCAAGACTAACTTGACCTGGGTCATATGTTGCTTAGGCCTCTGGAAATCATTAGCACAGCTTGAATTGTTTCCCAAGGTTCATAAGAGGTAACCCCTGGCCAATTCCTTATCATTTAAGAAAATTTTAATGTTACCACTGTACAGGCTGCTTTTGGGCAAACAGGCTTGAGCGATGGAATGTAGGAAGTGTTATGCCCGAGTTTTCGCGTCCCAGAGACCACCAAGGAGCCAAGCACCGATGCAATCACACGAGGGTTTATTTGACAAGCTTAAGCTTGGGCCCAAGTATACCTGACGCAGCGGAGTAGGGACTTGGACCCTGAGCTTAGTTAAGGCAGGGGTATTTATGGGTTCCTGTTATTAAAGCAGGGTGGGGAATCACTGGAACCAAAGTAGGGTGGGGCTTACTTAAAGTAGAGTGGGGTTTCCTGGAACTAAAGTAAAGTAGGGGAAAGTTCAGCCCTTGGGCACAGGGGTCTGAGATGGCTGTACTTATGCTAAGGCTAAACCTGAGGTGGGATGGCCTTGATTTTCCTCAGCCTCCACAGGAAGGGCCCCGCATTGACCATTTGGCTGAATACAGGCAGGCTGATCGGCTGACCACTGACCGATGAGCTACTTAAAACCAGGCATAGTTACCAAAGAAGGAAGGATTCCGTATGTCACCACACCTCACCTTCCACCTTTAAAAACAGCCCGCACTCACTGCCTCACTGCTGACCGCCCCCCCTCCTCTGCTGTACTAGGGCCCCTCCCTTGCAGTGTATTCAATAAACTACTACCTCCTTTGTTCTGCCTCACTTCCCAGCCACCAGCTTCCATGGGATCCTCCCCCACCATCTGATTGAGATATACCCCATTCAGACACGACAATAGACAATAGACAATAACCAATCGCAGTAAAGAATAAACAGTCACTGTCTTCTCACTAAATAAGCTGTTTTATAACAATGTATCTCTGAGCCTCATTCCACATTTTGGTTTGAGTGCCCCTGGTTTGCACACTGTCTTTGCGGGGCGGGGGATGTGCAGTAAACTTGTATGAATTACTACTTCAGTGATTCATTGGTTTTATCTCTGTTATTTCTGAACCTTTAACAGCATTGTCCATCATAGTTCTATAAAACTCTTTCGTGTACTTTTATCTCGTTTCATTATTTTCTTAAAGATTTTATTTATTTTTGAGAGGAGCGGGGCAGAGGGAGAGAGAATCCAGAGCCGACTCCTTGCCAAGCACAGATCCCCAGGTGGGGCTCAATCTCACAACCCTGAGATCATGACCCAAGCCGAGACCAAGAGTTGGGCACACAACCAACTAAGCCACCCAGGTGCTCCTTGTTTGATTATTTTAACAACCCCATGAAAATACCAGCAAATTTTAACCACCTATTACAAGCGAGGATTGCTGAGGCTGTGAAGTCAAAGCCATTAGCCTAGGCTCACACAGATGCATGTTCCTCACTGTGGGTGTGCTAGTTACAGGAAGGAAATAAAGATGTTGCAATACATACAAGTGTTAACCTCTGTTTAGCTTTGTACAGTTTAATGGCCCTTTTTACTGGGCTTGCAACATCCCCACAACTGCCCCTATGATGCTCATGTGGTTGGTAAAGTCCTCTTCTTCAAGCCACAGTCTTGTTCTTTGTCCCCATGGTTCCAGGGAGGCCAGATTTCCAATGGGGGTGGGGATGGGGCAGGCAAAAGGAATAGCAGGAAAATATCTTCCCCCCAAATCCACTTGATTTGGGTCAGAGATCTTTGGGACCCAAGGTCCTCTACAGGTTGTGTTGACTTGGTTCACGAAAGCACAACCACATCTGTTTTCACTCATTGTATTTCCAGGGCTAACCTCAGTCTAGGGCACAGGAGAGGAGGTCCGTAAACAGTTTTGAGAGTGCTTATAAACCATAAAGCACTGTATCACAGTCCTAAGAGGTAGTAAATGCTCCACTGTAAATCAAAGAGGGGAACAATAAGATTCTGTAGCACAGACAATCTGCTGAACAGATGGGGGAGGAAAAAAATGTTTGGAGAAAACAGTAGGGAAACTGGCCTGAGGAAGCAAGAATTGGAGAAGGGGGTCAAGGGGCCTCACAGGGATCCAGCCCTAATCTGTCCTGAATTGGGAAGTTGTCAGCACAAGGGCGACCTCAGCCCTTTGCCCAGGATCCTTAATCTGGCAGGTTCCATATAGCAGGACAAGTAGAAGGGAAGAGCCTGGAGCAGGGAGATATTCAGAAGGCTGGGACCATGGCCCCAGACAAGAGTGAAATGAACAAGGAAGTGATGAGGGACAGGGCGGAGCAGAAGTCAGGAGAAGGGATCAAATGGGGGGTGGGGGTGGTCAAGCTGACCTTTCCCTCTATTGATTTGTAGCGAAGGCAGAGACGAAGCTGGAGCTGACTTTCCACCAGTGAAAGGAGAGGGGTAAGGAGCTGCCTTACTAAAGGTGGAGATGGGACTCCCAGGCTGGCAGCTGGAATGCAAGAGAAGGGTTCTTCCA